GAATTAACGTGTCCCATTAAATTGGACATTTAAGAGTTCAAATTTCAAATTAACAGTTTCATACTTTTTGAACACAAAAAAGTTAAGGAAGTGTATACGCTTACTCAATTACCCGTGTCTGAAAGTTTTAAAATGTTAGAATTACTCATAAATGTAAGGTTAAAACTGTTATCTTATGCTCCGTATAAAAGTTAGTCAAAAAAGAAAATGACACTATCAATTTGGGACACCTCAAAGTGAAAATGTGGAACCATCAATTGAAACGGAGAATGTATTAAAATCAAAGGTATCAATTGGTACCTAAGATACTCTGATACTTGGTCGATCCCATATTTTTTTTCACTTCACATTTCCTCTTAATGAATGGTCTCTATAGTTAACATTTTTCTACTTTTTTTCAACATCAGCTACAATCATGTATTTCTACTTAATTAATAAATGTACTAATTCAAATGGGGGGATTCAGAATCAAGGTAGTATAAATAAATGTATATATGTTGCACTTTTTAATTAAAGTTATGACTGCACTGCAATAGATTCAGCCAAGAGCATACAAAAACGAATCATCCAAGTGAGATATATATTGACCCAACAATAAGGCCTCAAAGTCACATATATGGACCGCAATGGGAAGGCATGATGATAATAGAGCAATTATGATGCATTTCAAAGAAAAAATGAATTCACCTTATAAAAAGTGTCAATATATAATTTTTTTTTTGATGATAGATATATATAAAATTTTAGAAAGTGTAACCGTACCATAAGTGTCAATACATATTTCAGTACAAAATTTGACATTAAAGAGTTTAAAATATAAAATACGTATGTTGTGGCTAGGATGTGTTCAGGAACAACATTGTCGTGAGTATTGGTTCTTCAAAGAGTACATTATTGCAAACTATTCCTCAAGGAATGACAATTTTTCTTTTACTACGTACTTTTGTAAAGTGTTAACACCTTCTATATATCTTAGAACATTATTTGATCATTTAAGTATTAAGTCTTTGAACTTCAGAGGACTTCAATGAGTTTCAATTACTTTAGCTTTTCAATCTTAAGTATAAGATCTCGATTAGATATTCTAAAATATGAAAATAATCAATATGATCGATCTCAAATTTGGGAATCAACATCACAATTTTACGAAAAAAATGGTCTAACCAATGCAATTTAATGGTCGGAATATTCATCCTCAAAACACAAGACATATTCTTTGTGATGAATGATGTGCATACAACACTTATATTGGCTGAAGATTTAATGAAACATTCTCAATATATCCAAATTCTCAATATATCGAAAGAATTTTTCACGCGCAAACAAAAGAGAGAAAAAATGTGTTTGCGTTTAAGAGATTCTGTTATGGCGTCTCACCTTAAATGTAGTCTCTATTGTTGATTAATTTTATGTTTCAAACTCTTGTCAAGACAAATTTAGCCAAAACTCTTGTATTTGTTTTTTGCTTATTTGGAAATTTTCCATTATATTATCATTTAAATGCTCCCACTTAGCCCAACATGAAATCCACTATCCACCCCTGAACAGTCTCACATAGCTTAAATATATAAATCAGGACAAATAAGTATAGGACACGCAAATTTCTAATTCAATGTACTTACGCTTGATCATATGCTCAAAATTGTGTGTACTTGATTTGTCCAATAAAAATCCAGAAATTATCAGCTTCAATTGATGAACAAATTTAAAAAAGATTGGTTTTCGAGAAACCAATAGACATGTAGTTGATCATATAATCTCGATCAGATTTGAAATTTATAAAAATACATTTGGTAGATATTGAGCATATAATATATGACTCCGTATATGATACTCCAGGGAACTTATGACAATTAGAACTATATGGAAAGCCATTTTCCTAGTATTGCACAGTTAATCATGATGTTTCACTACCACTTGTAACTTTTAACAAACATGATTCTCATGCACTAAGCCTCACGGTAATTGGTTCACTTTCCGTCAGCATGAAAATTGGTGCACCAAATTTGATTTTTGAGAAAAGTACGTATTATGTTGTTGCCATAACTTTGTAACTTTGTTTCACTTTAATTAAACACTCTCTGTTTAACTTTAATTAAGCGTGTTAATAAACTTTCATTATTACTCACTATTATTTATTCTAAGCTACTAGGTCGTTCATTACTTAGAATATCTCAAACTTGTGTGATGCCCCACTTGATTTGTAGTCATTAAGCAAGAAACATGATTAAATATTGTCATGGGAGTATTGATCTTTACGGATTGAAGTAGGGGAAATTCTCCAATATAACTAAAGCACAGTCAATTTCTCTAAATATGATTCCATTTGTTTTTAGTCATTAACATGATTGAAAAACACGAAAAAACTCTAGTCATATTAAAGAGGATTGATGGACGGAAAGAACCTCATAAAAATGTGCATTTTTCACTGATTAATTTCATTTAATTAAATATACACCATATTTCATTGTGTTACTACTGCTCTTGTCTATCGGCATTAAATTACTCTACTTTTCATCGGAATCACTATACTTTGGTCGACATTATTTTTCTTCTGACCTACGTTACGTTATTGCCTTTCGCTGACGTTAATTCCCTTTATGAATTTAAGAAGCACATTCCCTACGGTATATACCACGGAGGAGCAGAATATTTCTATTTTGTCTTTATAAGTTATAACTGTAATAAACAGGAGGAGCAGATTTAGGAATTTGGTTGGAACAACCTCGTGTTAGAAGAGCCCTTATACATGCTCCCAACTCCCAAGTCCTACAAATCTACAATAGTAAGGTGAGCTAAGGGAACAATGCAAAGTTACACTAAAAACTCAAGAAATATTAATTTGTCTTACACTTTAGCCTAACATAAACCTACTTTAGATTCCCCATTATTAATTAGATGTACTTTTTGAGTTTTATATTGGGCATGTTGTTTGCACAATGTTTTGTACAACCGTGGTTAGGTGATGGTTGTACTTATTCGGTAATGACTATAAAATTTATACTCATTCATAACTCTCCTCAAGGAATAAAACACTACAAACTTTTATGAAAATTAAAGAACTGTTTCTAGGCTTGTATAATGTTCAATTTATATTGTTTGTGTCACTAACAGACTCAGTTCTTGAGTCAAATTACTTCTCGGACGTGCATACAAAATCAGAAAGAGAAAATTGTCTATATACTACCTCCGTCCTGATGGAAAGTTCCCGTTCGGTTTACGATGCTTGACTGACGATAAAGCAACTCGATCCCTGTTCACACTCCGCTTATTTTTAGTAAATAAAATTTACATATTCAAAAACTACATTAAAACCGCTACAAAGCCTGATCAAGAAAAGTTCAATTTGATAAAAAAATTGATATATAAAGTAAAAGATTAGGAGTGACCTAAGTTAACCAATGAATAGTGAACGGGAACATTCCAACGGGACGGATTTTTTCATCATTATATACAATAATTTTTCATCATTATATTGTAAGTTAATGGACAAATTTTTCCGTGACAAAAATAATTTACGCGTGTGGTCCGTCAGTCCGTGTACACCGATCACGTATATGTAAGGTAGTTTGAACTTCTATGTAGAATGATATTCCCTCCGTCCCCGAATTATTTTTAAGTTTTCTTTTTTCGTCCGTCCCAAAATAATCTTCCAACACTACAATAAAAATGCACATACACCGCACATAGACCAATTTTTTTTTGCGGTGGCCGCATAACTGTCGTTAAAAACACTATTAACCACACATTTTTTATTTACCACATACAAAAGTGTGGTAAAAGGTCAGAGACGACAATTTTTAACCGTGGCCAATATTTTTACCACGGCTGTTGTGGCGACGCACGTAAAACTGACGCAAAACTGTCGTAAATGTTCCTCCTTATGTTTTTACGACAGTTTTAGGTGCGTCGGCACAACAGCTGTGGTAAAAACATTGGCCACGGTTAAAAACTTTCGTCTCTAAGCTTTTACCACATTTGTGTGTGTGGTAAATAAAAAATGTGTGGTTAATGGTGTTTTTAACGACAGTTATGCTGCCATCGCAAAATAAAGAATGTGGTCCATGTGCAGTCTATGTGCACTTTTCTTGTAGTGTAATTCAATTTTTGGCAAAGAATTTGTGGTTGACAACATATTTTTACACATTCTTACAAATATCCCTCATCTGCACAACTCTCTACCACACAATACCCAATATCTTAATCCTCGTGCCAAATGTACCCTCCCTCTAGGATGATTTTGGGACAGAGGGAGTACAATATAATGTAATTGCAATGAAAATGTTGTATTGGTATGTAGAGGAATGATCAGGTCCATCCGGAGGGACGGGAAGTGCCGGCCGAACTTTACTGTTTGGGGTGGTTCCCGGTGGAATGTTTTGATGAAATTTTTTGAGCATGTTCCTCATCAAGTCTAGTTTATCTATACCAAATTTCAGCTCAAAATTCGATCGGGAAGGCATTCAAATAAATTCTTGAAACATACTGCACATTCTGCGCACATATAATGTGCAGTAAGTTTCGAGAAATTATTTGAATGTCTTCCCGATCGAATTTTGAGCTGAAATTTGGTATAGATAAACTTTACTTGATGAGGAACATGCTCAAAAAATTCCACCGGGAACCGCCTCAAACAGTAAAGTTTGGACGGAGCCTCCCGTCCCTCCGGATGGACCTGAGCATTTCTGTTGGTATGTATTACGCACATATATTGTACTTCGTATATACTACATATAAAGTGTCGTTCTTGTCAGGCCGAACTGATCGGGACCACAGTTTAATCAAGCCTGTTTGAGGGTCTCTCAAGTCCATTTTTTTGATAAATTTGTTTAACATGTTATTCATGAAATATATACTTCGTATATTATATCTACCAAATTTCAACTTCAATTTCAATCAGAAAGTCTGTTAAATATATTATTGCAAAAAGTTGCGCTCTTTTATACTACTACGTACATTTTTATATTTTGGCGGATATAATATATACTTTATAACGAAAATGTTCAAAAGAATTCATCAAAAAATGACTCGAAAGACTCTCAAACGGATTTGGCCGGATGGAAGAACATTACAAAATTGATGGATGTACTTTACTACCTAATAATCATAATCATAAGGAAAACTTTACAAGTAATATTCCCCTCAAACTTTCAAATTACTACGTACTCCCTCCGTCCCAGAATTAACTTCGGTTTTGACTGGGCACGGAGATTAAGAAAGTGGGAAATGTGTGGTGGAGAGTTGTGCAGAGGAGAGAGAAATGTGTAAGAATGGTTGTGAACCACAAATCCTTTGCTAAAAAGGGAAAGAGGAGATAAATTTGGGACGGACCAAAAAGGAAAGAATGAAGATAATTATGGGACGGAGGGAGTATTATTTTTAATTTCACTAAGGTGTTGCAAGCAAAATTCTTTTTTTTTTGAAATATTGTAATTTCACTTAGGAGTACAAACTAAATAAATAAATACTTCCTCCGTTCTTAAATAAATGCAACAGTCAACATTTCACATTTGCCGAGGCACAACTTTGACCATTAATATATATAATTCCCGATTAGTAAAAAAAGTTTAAAAAATAGATTTTGAAAATTTATAATGAGAAAAATTTAACAATATTTTTTTCAAAAATATATATTATTACATTAATAAATAAAACGTAGTCAAAGTAGAACATGTGAATAGTGCAAGCCCAAGCATCCAAGGAAAATTCTGAAAGATGATTGCTAACGACTTCGTGGCATGGACATGGAAGCAAGACCCCTAGAAAAATCAGACACCGCCGCCGCCGGGTGAAAGCCCAAGCATCCAAGGAGTCCTTGCTTGTACGGCAAGTATGTCTTCCTTTTCATCTCCTCCGACGCCGCCCGGTTCATAGTGTAGTGCAGCTCATGAGCCGACACCGGCCCTCTCCGCCGCGACGACGACGACCCCACGCTCTCCGTCGACCGGAAACTCGAGTTCTTCACATCTTCCTGCTGGCTCTTCTTTAGCATTGCGTATCTGGCCGCCACCATCATGTTCATCTCTTTGCTGCTCGCCCGCCCCTCCGACGCGCTCCGGAACAGTAAAAGATCCTTCAGCTTCCATTTTCTGTACCACGTCGCGATCGACGACTGCGACGGTGAACAGGGGTTGTTGTTGTCCCTTTCATTTGTTTCATCTCTGTCGATTAACAAATTCGTTGCGCGAAATGGGGACAAAGATCTTGTCTTTTTTCGCCGAGAATTCCAACCGGCGGCTGTCGGATTACCCTGTCTTTCTCTTCCTCGCCGTTGAATTGATGGGTCGTCGCCGTCGTTATCTTTCCTGCTCTGTTCCAGAGCGGCGGAGAAAGGATCGGGATCTTTCCTCCGGTGACGGGGAGAAAACGCGTCCTTTACCCTCCGCTTCGGCGATCGCGGAGATTTTGGGGACCCTTTCTCCTTCCCGTCGTACAGAACCCCCGGCGGCGGTTTCAAAGGCTTGATCTTTCCGCCGTCGAAGAGTTCATCGGCGGCAGAGATGTGGGTCATCTCCAACTGCCCGCTAAAATCAAAAGCAAAATCATCGCTGCAATCGTCTTTGGGATTCCGAACTCCGGCCTCCTCTTCCCAATCGAACGGAGCTCTACCGCCGGCTCCAACTTCGGCGGCGCTGTAAAAGAAAGTCCCAAAACCCTTAGGACTAGAAGGTGCACTGATGAAATTAAATTCCGCCGGCGGCGATGGAATCATCACTTCCATTCTACTGACAAATTACGATTTTACTGTCAGAGAGGGAAGAGGAATCAGAAAGGACAGTCCAGAAAAACAGGAAACAGAAGGGAAGGAGAAGAAATGAACAGAGCAAATTGCAGCTTAGACCTCTTATATTTATATTGATTTGACTTGGTTGACTTCCATCTTTCAACCCCTGCTGTAGTAATATACTCCGTAGGATTATTCTGCGCCTCTTCGTACGGGGCAATGTGAAAGGGTTTTCCTCGTGAGTTTTACCGTTAGATTTAAAGGTTTTGTTTGGGAGCTTTTACTGTTAACTTTTTGAATTTCAAATTAAAGATATATACGACATGGTCGATATTAATTAGTTTAATGTAACCACATCTATTAATTAGGAATAAGATTTTGGAATAATGTTATAAATAAATGACAGACTTTTACATTGACAAAAAAATAAGACCCATTCAAATTTGGGTAAAATAAAAACTATTACTTCCGTACCAATGAACTTTGAATTAGGTATGCAATAAGTAAAATAAAATTATCTGGTTGAGTTTGTGAGAATAGAAAAAAATAAATCAAATCGCAAATTAATTACTTTAATGTAATATAAGTGACAACGTTTTCTTAAACATTAAAAATGAGAAAGTTGACAAAATTCAATAAGACAAAGAGAGTGAAAACTTAGTGTCATACTGCCATCCATCTTCTCTCGGCAATGCCGATCGATTTCTTATCCCAACTATGCCGATGGGTCTTCTTCTCGGATAGACCAACTTCCGCAATTAGCCCTCCACCATGGCCACGTTGCCGCCTATCACACTTGTCGCCGTCGCCTTTCCCCTTGTCATCATTGTCACCTCTCACCAAAATAATGTCACACTTCATTTCTTCGATTTTAACTTGTGTCCCCATCGTCTCCGCCAATTGAAGGCCACCATCGTTGCCGTCATCCAGGTTTATCTTCTCCTTTCTTCTTCTCGGTAATCAGTTTCTTCATTTTATTCTTCTTATTATTTCTTCTTCTCGGTAACCAATTGTTGATTTCATCCAATTTGTGTGGCTAGGGATGACTAAATGTTGAGATGGATATCGGACGGAGGCTATGGTTCCTTATAGGGATTGGTGGCTATGTGAGGACGGTACGACAGTGACGACAACATAAAACTCATAAAAAAATAAAGACTAATTAGACAAAAAAATTCAGTCCAATAGGTCTTTATCAAATTCAGTACTCCTCTCCCGTTACTGGACTTCTCCAGTAGGAGAGATACAGAGACAAATGGGGAAATGGTGGGGTAGGGAAGAATAACAGATGAGATTTAATTATTATTTTTAAGGAGAGAGATAGAGTGAAAAAAGAAATGGAGAGAGTAAATGGAGAGAAAGAAATGGAGAAGAGTATGACCCGGTCAAGATGATGTGTTGAATGTGAGACTTACGTGCCTCTATAGCTAGACCATCCAAAAAGAAAAGATTTCACAATCCTGACAAGGTTTCTAGTCATTGAAAAGTACTTATTAAAAGGTCGATTTATGATAAGGTTGTACACTTATTAAAAAAAGGTCGATTTATGTTGTTGATATTGAATATATAGAGTAAGTATAAAGTAAGAATAATTTAAAGGCACACAAATTCTAACAAATTTGGTACGAGACAATCTTAGTGGGACGGATCGAAAAGGAAAAATGAGATAATCTAGCAAAAATGCATGGAGTATGTCTATGTAGGGGTGCTATTTAATCACACAAGCCAACTTGGAAGTTACTCAAAACCGGTTCAATTTTTATTCATGTCTAGCTTGAGTCGATTCAAACTCGACTCATACTCGAACTTGATTCGAACTCTCGACCAAGTCAAGTCAAGTTATTTAAAGTTATCTCGAAAAGCTTGCAAGCTACTCGTATAAATTAATATTTATTTTTCAATTTCATGCATATGAGTATTAGAAATCCCTATGGTCGGCCTTATTTTACCAATATTACTCCTAAAAGACCGTTTTCCATCAAAGTGAACAGACTTTAAAAATTCCAGATATAAGACTTTCAATCAGTTACGATGTACCGAAAATGCAGGGTTGAATTAGAAATCCCGGTAGGCACATTTAATGAAAGAATTTTAGTGATAATCTATTACCATATATCGGTAACTGACATGCTAAAATTGACGAAGACGATATACGTGAGTCGTGACTTACGCGTACACATTTCTTTACCTGATATTCCAGCCGTTTTAAACGCAGTCCACGATCGACCGGAAAAAGAGAAGCTCTGCAATTTTTTCATGCAAGTCGGCAACGGAAGGTATTACTGTTTTGTTCATGGCTTACGCCATTAAAATCTCAATTCTAGTAGTGACAACACAAATTTGGGAGGGTTTGTTTTTGTGAAAACATATGAAATCTGGGATAGTGAGGTTTTAGTCTTTAAGAAAATCTGCAGTGACATGTGATTCACAGTACACATGATTAGTAATGGGGAAAAATATTCCCAATAATAAAGAATTGTTTATCAACGTCATTAGGCATGGGTAGGATTAATTTGTTAAGCATACATGAAGGCAATAGTTACTTTAGAAAACCAATCTGTGAATGAATGATTTGCCTGAATGATGATGTGTATGGTCACACGAGTTAGTTCAACATTAACAAACTACAGAATTGTAGTTCTGGACAAAAGTAAATTAAAATTTGAAGTAGTTTAAAACAAGTAATTGATCAAAGGAAGAGATTTGACAAATAAATTATGCTTAGTTACACAAACAGATCAAATGTTGGCTTGGGTGTTATTCTTAGATTATGTTTTATATAATATGTTTGGGTACATATGCATAGAAGTTACACAAACAGAATATGTTTTACTGATACGTCGGATGCCGTACCCAAGGTCTCCACAACCAACTCTTCTACCCTTCACGGTGACAAGCACCGGCGATTCAAGTGGTGGCAATGGCGTAGTTTCAAAACTGGCAGAGAAAGGGATAATCGGCGAGCTTCCAGACGATTTAGCGATGGCGATGGCGGCCTATCTTACCCATCTAGGGACCTGCGATTGGACGCTCCCAGGGAACGAAGACTCGCAGATCGTCGCTCATGGAGGCCGGCGAAATGGGAACGACACCATACAGACCGCCGTTGGAGATGTTGCAGATGCCAGGGCGTGGGTATGTCCCACCGAAGAGTACTAGCAGAGCCTAGGGATGGTAGATTTGACCAGATTTCTCCTGCAGTTAGATGGCAGCGCAAGGTGGCTTTCAGAGATGGATTTCGTCGGTCGGGGAGGGACTATACAGGCTATGGTCTTCTGGAGCATGGGCAGTCTAATCATTCATCAGGGAGGGTGTACATAGGTCGTAATCTTCAGGAGCATGAGCAGTCTAAATTTGCTCTACAGGTGCCGCAGATTGGGTGTAAAGGGGATGAAAATCACCCTGACAAAGATCTGGATTTTTTTTATTGCAAGCATGGTTTCAGGCTCTTGGGGATGAAGCTACCAGTCACCAATCGAAGTTGTCCCCGACTACAGAGTTAGTTCTAGTAAACATCCTTTATGACTCGGCCGGAATGATAGTAAGTATATAAACTTTTAATTTGAGTTGGTAGTATGGAGAAATATTCACCAATTGTTTATAGCTCATGGGTTAGTAGTATTATATGAGTAGAAGATGATAGCACTGCATGTAGTAATTAATATTAATGGACATATTCAGCAAAGAGTAGGTAACTAGTAACTGTTTTTACTATTATTTCAGGTTCGACCGAGCACCACATGTACATTTGAGGTGATTGATAAAAAATGTAGAGCATATGCAGTTGACCTTGTGAAACGTAGATGTAGCTGCAAAGAGTTTCAACTCGAAGACTTTGTGTGTGTGTGCACGCGGTAGCATCTATACGTAGTCGGACTGGTCTTTCTTGTTTTGACTATATTTCAAGCTACTATAGTAGTAGGTCATGGGCAGAAGCATATAAGGGTTCCGTGCCGCCGTTAGGTTCATATACTCCTTATGATGCTCCTGAGGAAATTAGGAATTCGGTGGTTAAACCACCAATATAAGAGAAACGTGCAGCGGGGAGGCCGAAAAAGAAAAGATTCCCTCAACAGGTGAATTTGTCAAGAAGCAGAAATGTGGAAGGTGTAAGGAGCAAGGTCATAACCAAAAGACATGCATCAACCCAATACCTAGGCATCATTGATTTTATTTAGGTTGTTAGTTTTTTTTTACTTTGAGTGACCAACTCTTTAAGATGAATAATGTTAGCAAAAGGAATGCTACGATTGTTTTGGAAACATTTTTAATGTGTTGGTGATGATGAATAAATTATTTTGGGCTGTTTTGAGTGCATGTGTGTGTGTGTCAGGAGAGGTGGTAGACACCTTAAAACCAAAGCATTTGGAAGATGTATGTGAGTATTTGTAGGTATTCATGATCACCAATTCACTAATGATTTGATTAGTAAATAAAGAAGTCCTAGTAACGTGCTTCTATGTATGGCCAATGTTTTGATTTTTTATCTGCTTGGTTTGGTGATACTCAGAAACGACGAGGAATAGATTGTGTCAATGCTATGTTGACATGTTTTGTAGTTTCGTAGGTGTAACTATATGTGTATGGTTTCGTAGGAGTAACTCTATGGGTATGATTTTGGACAGTTTGTTTAGATAGATATTTGCTATGTCCGATACTCCGATGTTGTTTAGTGACATTGAAGATCGATTTAGTTACTTTGTACGTAGTAATAACTTCATTTATTTTGTTAGTAGTAGGTGAATGGGCGTAGTGACGACGGAGCCATTATTTTTTAAGAAGTGACGTAGTAGAGGTTGAATTTAGTGACTACGTAGTATTTTGCATTTTAAATTATTTTGAAACGTCTATTTTTTGTAATATGTAGAAGTTTATTTTTAAATGATTTGGTGTAAGTAGTGACATTGTTGGAACCTTGCTAGTTTTAGTTGTGGGGGTGTAACATCGTCAACAAGTTATCAATTTTAACGGGTAGTCTTAAAAATATTTGTTGATGTCAAAGGAAAAAAAGAAAAAGTGACATGTGATGTTTTAGTGACTAAAAATAGTTGGTGTATACACGTTGTTCTGCATATGTTAATGCATATGTGATGTTCAAATTGATGATAATGTGATGTGTAAGTA